TGTATGAAATACCTGGCTCTGTTTGGGCAGGTGGGGTCAGCCCCCACCCCCCGGCTGTGCCCCTTCCTGGAGTCCGGTGAAAATTAACCCTGTCCTGGCCAAACCCAGGACAGTAAGTATTAAGACTAAGATCTTTGAAAGATGCTTAAACTAGTTCAGAACCCAAATAACAGATGAATGAATTGCATTTTGTATGTTTGAATAGTTCAGCAATATTTCTCTTCAGACTGTAACAAAGCCTTGTTATATATGAATTATGTATATAAAGTACATACTTAGCTTTTTTTTTTTAGTGAACTACTGTGTCACCTCCTCTGCTGTTCTTCTAGTTCCTTCTCTTGCACATAGTGACTTTTGGTAGAACTACCAAAATCCTGCTATCTTTGAATCACAGTCCTGCTTTCCCTAAAATGTTTTCCATATCTCCATTATTTGGTGCATGTCCCAGAAGCAGTGGCATACATTTTTTCCATCCCCTGCTTTGATTCTTGCTGGGTCTCACTATTTCTGAATCTTTGATATATAGCCAATTTGTTCCCTGCTCCAGCCTTCAGAACTTTTTCTACGTGTAAGGGGCAGGGGAGGAAGAAATAGTAGCGTTTTAGGGGAAAATGGGCAGGAGATTGAGAGAGAGAGAGAGACATTACTTAAAGTTCAGTGTGCTTTTAACCACAGCAGCCACAGAGTACAAAGTCAACAACTCAGAAGCCAGCACTCTCCTGTCTGCTCTGCCCTTCAAAGATACTGTAGGATCCGACGACGGGAAACCCTCTCCACCTATGTAAGGATTAAAACTGAGAGGAAGCTCATTGCTGCATGAAGCTGTAGCAGGGAATCTACAGCACAATTGTCCCCCGATGTTACTGAACAGAGATATCAGGTCAGATGTGGCACCAGTAGGATTAGCTCGAAATAAACAAATTATGCTGCTTTTCATATCACAGAATCACAGAATGGTAGGGGTTGGAAGGGACCTCTGTGGGTCATCTAGTCCAACCCACCTGCCAAAGCAGGGTCACCTCCAAGACTCCACAGCCTCCCTGGGCAGCCTGTTCCAGTGCTCCGTCACCCTCAGAGGGAAGAAGTTCTTCCTCATGTTCAGACGGAACTTCCTGTGCCTCAGTTTGTGCCCCTTGCCCTTTGTCCTGTCTCTGGGCAGTACTGAAAAGAGCTTGGCCCCATCTTCCTGACACCCACCCTTCAGATATTTGTAAGTATATATTAGGTCCCCTCGCAGCCTTCTCTTCTTCAGACTGAACTAGCCCAGCTCCCTCAGCCTCTCCTCGTAGGGGAGATGTTCCAGTCCCCTCACCATCCCTGTAGCCCATCGCTATTTCAAACTGGGGCCATGCTTTTTGATTAGGAAAGAAGTATCAGTGACAAGCTCATGTTGGAGATTTTGTCTTAACATTACTGAATATTTGTGGTTGCCTAAATGCACAAATGAAAGATTTTAAACTGAAAGACTGGCACTAGTCTGGAAAACATCTGTTAGACCTTTTTCACTGTAATACAGAAAAATGGGCCAGCACATGGGTCCCATTTTTTGCAAATGTGTAAGGTAGGACCTTTACATGCCTACTGGGCATTTAGAAAAACAAACTAATGTTTAGGTGACTAGTTTGACTGCCTCAATATATAACCACTGAAATATCCTTCTGCACTTTTATGAGAGTTTCCCAGTGTTGCAGAACTTGGTAAAATGTTTTCACTGTACCACTGCTAATTAGAAAAAGATCAAATCACATTATCCTGGCTCCCATAACAAGTTACCATGCACACTAGTACCCTTGCATAACCCCTGTGTTTTTATTGTCCCTTATTAGGTTAAAAATGGAGCTTATCTGTGTGTGGAAGAATACTAGAACTGGCCAGAGCTATTACCATGATGACACAGACTAGCGTGATAGCTCAGCACAAAAAAAATGGTAATTTTTCCTTTTTCTTCCTCTTCTTATTGTTTGGGGTTTTTTTAACAGTTTTCTCTTTCAAGACTTATTTTGCTAGCATCAAGACTCTCTGGAACGGAACTTTTTTTTTCCGCTTTAGTTTTGTCTTTGGCAGCAAAGCTGAAAATGAGTCCCAGATACCATCTGAGCTGTTAAATGGGTTAGCAGCCTGGTATTTGGAGTCCCAAAGAAGTTTGTGAAATTAGCATCCTGAAAAAGGTGGAGCAACTTTACAAATTTTGACCTACTGATTACTAGCTTGTAGCAGGAATTTCTGCTTCAGACAAGGGTGACTGCCGTACTGAAGAACAAGAAAATACAAACATCCAGTAATACATGTTCTTGTCTCAAAGGTCACCAATGGCAGATGGATATTTAATGAGAAATCCTGTAGTAACTACATCTCTCTTTCTGTATGAGTGTAAATAATGAGAAAGCGGCATTTAGAAGGTAGAATAAAACTAAGAGAGTGCAAAAGGTGAAACAAAAGCAAAAAATGGAGAATCAATATTTCAGCATTTAATACACATCGAGAGCTGAAAGCTTACCGCCACATCGTTTTTCTTCTATGCTGCTGGATCGTGCCACTGATATTTCTAGAAAAACAAATAAACCACTTAGGCCTAGGAGAGATAATATTACAGAGAACTACTAGTCTGCTAAACACAGTAAGGATTTAAAAATTAATTCTACTACATTCACTCTAAATCCAAAGTAAAAAAGATTTTGTCTATGTGGCAGAATAACATCTTCAGGTTCCTTAGTTTCCCAAGCAAAAGCAGCAACACATTTTTAATTCTCGCCTCAAAACATCTCTGGAATTAAAAAGATGGAAGTGCACATGAAAACAGTCTTTGCGGAGTTTAAGCATGTTGAGAAAGTGTGGATTTTCTGAATAGTGAAATTAATGAGAGTTTAATTATCTTGTGTTCAAAGGGGCTCATTACTTCTAGAAGTCACGTCTAGCACTAATGTGAAAACAGGGAATTTACAAATGTTCAAAAAGGATGACTGCCAATTTAATGGCTCTCAGTTGTAAACTAATAAAATGTAATTCCAGCCTGCATCCTTACCGTTTTGACTTTGGAAACATTCTGAATAAATATTGAATAGAATCTGTTGGCAATCAAGTTCTCCCACTCTCTACCTCAAGACCATGTCTTCTGAGAAGGGAAGTCCTGCCTTAAAAATCTCCTGAAGCTCTCTGCAGTGGTCAATGGACATGTGGATTTGGGTGGGGTAACTGACACAGTCTACCTGCATTTCAAAAAAAGGTGTGAGTTCATTGTCAAAAGCTTTCCAAGAAACAAATGAGATGATGGAAAAGATAGGAAACAGGGTAGTACTATGTGCCCAATTCTCATTGCAGAGGAAGTTCACCATTTCTGCAGGGACATAGGCTTTTCAGCAAAGAGCTAGAAAATCAGGAGACAAATGTGGTTTTGAAGTTTGCTAATCATACAAAGTTAAGGCAGCATGGACAAGGACATGCTGTGAAGAGCTGCAGAAGGGCCTTGCAAAACTAGGCAATAAAATAAAAAATGAAACAGAACATAGATCAGTGGAAAGCAATCCTAGCTTCACATATAAAATGATGGGCTGTGTGGTGACCAGTACTGCTCACGAGTGACACCACGAGGTTATGACAAATCGTTCCATGAAAATACCAGCTTACTGTTCAGAAGCAATCAAAATAGAAAATCAAACGCTAAGTACTACCAATAAAGCAACAGTGAATAGGACAAGATATTAGCATTATGGTACTTTACAAATCTATGTCTTGTCCACACCATGAACACTGTGCGCAGCTCTGGTTTTCCCATCTAAGGTTGTCTCCAGTAGAACTGAAAAACAGATCAGGGAAGGGCAGCAATGATAGCCACAAGCGTGCAACAGCTTCTGTATGAGGAATTAACAGAGCAGGCTCTCCACCACCAAAAGACAATCCACATGCAGCTAAAGGGATCACAGTTTTTCACTTTTCTTCTACCATGTGCTAAACCAATACTAACTATTTTCAGAATGAGAAAGTATCAGACCTGACAGAACAGCATGCTCACAGAGTTAAAGGCTGAGAGCATACTTTGTCTGATTGAGACCGTTAATTCACAATCCAAACAAAAAGCAGGGAAAAATGTACCAGAAAGACATACAGCTCTGCAAAGTAATGTTGATAAGGACTAACTCTGGAAACAGAGCAGTAATGACAAGAAGTCATTTTTACACTTTGCCAGAATCACTCTGTACACAAGTTCTGTAGAGGAACAGTGCTAAGGTAAGCAGGAGGAGGAGGAGAGAACGTGAGGATGGACACAACAGCACCCAAGCTGAGGAAAGGTGGGAGGTGAGTTAGAAAAGAAAGAGAGGTCGGTACGGAGGGAGGGAGAGAACTGTGACTCAAAGGACCTCAAGGAGTGAACGCCAGCTGAGCGATCCCAAGAAAGCAAGCTAGTTCGCCTAAGGTGAGTGTAATGGGCATGACCGCATCTGCTGTGATATGGGTAATCTGAGGAGGAGTGGCAAACAAACCAGAAGGGCCAGAGAAGAGGTGGCTTATTTCAGATTCTCAAAATACCTACTTTCCAAAACAAGATGTAGAGTTTATGCTGGATTAAGCAGGGGATTCACAGAATGTGAATAGTAACAGAGCTGCTTCAAAAGCCTCAGAAAAACAGGAAAATATAATGTGGGAGTTTTCGCTTTCACACTGACATTTTTCACATTGGTTTTGGAGGAAAAAATAGGATTTTGGAGTTACGGCATTATGCACCATCCATAAAAACAGCATTTAAATTTTTTTATTTCTTTGTTATATTGTACTATCTTGTACCGCATAGTCACAGGAAAAAGGTTGCTGCACTGACTAAACATAATTACACTTCAAATGAGACATTAAAATGTAAATTTCTCTGTCTGTGAATAGACTGCTAGCTTTTTTTAATGTACATAGGCAGAAAGATGACTGTTAATAGCAATGTAGTGTGGCCACCCATATTGTTGGGTGGATTTAAATGACTGCTGTGATTTAAAAATAATAATAAAAAAAAAAGAGTACGGTCATACAGTTATGTGTTTTGACAAATGCTGTAGAATAATACATGATGTAACTATCCATCAGGTACTTAGCAGGGGGAGACAAGGACTGGAGGCACAGTTAATAGTATTTACCTTTCTAAGTGGTTATTAATTTAAGGGAGTCTGTGAAATGATTTCCAGATTAACTACCACAGAACCCACTTTTGTACATGCAAACCACAAGACCTAGAGGAAGTGTGTCTCTAATAACCCCCAAGTCTCAAAAACACTTAAAGTAAAAAGCAAACTCTTTCGGCTAGCTGCCTATAGCGATCCCTGCACCCTGCTACCAAGCAGGACAGGAGGGACCCGCAGAATGCTGTGACAGTGACTAACCAAAGTCCCACATGGTGACAGTGGGGACAGCTGCACAGCACTCAGTGCCATGAGCCACATTTTCGTGGAGACACCACACCTAGCAACATCGTCTCTACACAGCAGACCAACATA